AATTTTTAAATTTAAATCACTCTCAATTTCTATGATTTACAGAGAAATAGCTCTTTCCAATATGAAAACTTACAGTTCTTTAACTGCAGCTTTGAGAGACACTGTACGACTATGCCAGGCACCAGACTAAATGGTCCAGAAGTTTTGTACTTCAGAAGCACAGGAACCACTTTGAGCAGTTTAAGAGATTTTCTATAGTAGTTCTATAAAATTTATTTCTTACCTCTGAATTACTCAGAGCACCAAATTAAAAACATGTTTCCATTGTACCTTTATATAATCTGAAGAATTTAATTTTGTTCCTTTATTTTGAGCTGACCTTGCCTGGCATGCCTCACAATAAAATTGAAACACTTCATCTTCATTCAGCAAATAAGCATCACCCTCTGTCCAGAAAGGAAAAAAAGATCAAGAGCCCTAATATTAGCTATGTTAGCCATATGAGAAACAAAAATCAAATTTAGGTACAAAGAAATAATAGCTACTGTCTCAGAGAAATGGCTGTTTCATTCTCTCTTTTACTTGTTTGTCTCTCAGCCTCTTTTTTACCAACAATTTAAAGGAAAAAGTTTTGGAAAATGGGCTAAAATTTAGACTCTCCTGAAGATTATCCATTTTTTTTCAACTTCAAGACTAAGATGTCACCCTTTTTTGGTTTTAGAGAAGAAATCACTGAAAGGTTAAGAAAGGACCCTAAACCCAGCTTGAGTTACAGGCTAATAAATGGTTGTATCATGCAAGCTTATCTGGGTCTTGGCAATAAGATTCTTGTTTAGCAAAGTAGAGGTCAGGAAATTGAACTTATAAAATGGATCATCCATGGAGAACAGAGAGAAGACACAGATATAGACACACCACATTTTCTTCTTTCACTCCTTTCTTTCTTTTTTCTTTTTTTTTTTCATACTGAAGCTTTCATGCTTCAATTCTATTATAAATTACCTAAGATCAGAGTTTTCAGGTCAATAAATCAAGAATTTCTTTTAATCTAAAGATGAATGAGAAGAGCCAGAAGACTTTATAATTTTGTGCAATAATGCAAAGCAATATCTGTAGTAAACTCCTACTAAACACATAGTATTTAAATTTCTAAAGGATAAAATGTTTTTAAAAAAATTGATGTAACTGGCTGTTAATAAAGATGAAATAGGAGGTAAAGCTAAACGGTCATTTTCTTCTGATTTCTAGAATGGTGTGATAGGTAGTAAATTTTATTCTTAGGCTTTATTCAAGTGTTTGTTCCTCGTATACTGTCAAATAGTACATAGGGCTAGTGCTAGAGTGAACCTTAGTCTGGCTCAGCACAGCCATGAAAATAATTCTATACTTACTCATAATCATCATATCCCATATAACTAAACCATGAAAGCAAAGAACAACGTCTATAATGCCTTCACTAAGTGTATTCTGTAGAAGAATGATGTAGGGCTGACAAAAAAAGCTAGCTCAGGAAAAGTATGTGGGACTGATAAAGGGCTTGTTTGTCTAAGTAGGAATAGAGACATTTGTATAAAGATTAATCTAGAAGAGTGAAACCTATGGGAGAACAAGTGGAGAACAGAACAGAAAGCACAGTGGAGATTGTAGATCGATATATCCTGGCCTTGGTGAGACACAGATATGAGAAGAACTGGGAAAGTACAGAATATGCAGATATCAACGTTTTTGAAACTATGTAGTTTTGTAAGGCTGCCAAGTAACGCAAACAATAGGCTGATTCTCTAACTAGTGGGAAAAGTTTTGCTCAAGGATGTGACTGCTTAGAGCTGTAACTGCTTGGAGCTACAAATGTATATAAAACTAAACTGTGAAAAAAATATACAACTTCATGACTTCAACTTCGACTTCAATTTCTTTTTACTCAAACTTCAAGTTCTTTTTGATTTGACTTTTTAGTTAGACTACTTTTTACACCCCTCCTTTGAAATCTCATCCCTCAGTCATGCAGACCTGGGTAACTCACAGCATCAGTGATGCTCCACAGTGACCTCATAGGATAAGAACATTTTTATAAAGATTTATAAACCAACACTCCCTAAGGAAATTTAGAATCTTCACAGAAAGTTCATTTAGGCTTTAAACATACTGTAAACAACATGATTTGATACAATTCACCCATAACATAGAGAGCATGTAACTTGGGACCAGGAGCTGCCCTCTCTGCTGGAGGCAGACAGCTCCAATGGATCTCTACGGGACATTGCTGAGCCACTCAGACAAGATTGTGATGCCTCTGGGAAATCATATTTACAAAATGGCAAAATGCCACTTCAGCTTCCTCTACAGGTGGTGCAGACACCACAAAGAAGCAGACATTTAAGCTTGTAGAGAAATCCATGCTGGAGTGGGTTTACCCTGAAGAATTGCAGTCCATAGACAGGATCCACTATGGAGCAGAGATGTTGGAAGAGGATGAAGCTGGTACAAGGTGACCACAACCCACTTCTCCATGTTTCCACACCAGTCAAGGGATAATAGATGGAGAAGTTAGGAATAAATGTGTTAATATGTGGTTGAAAAAGAAAAAGAACAGGGAAGAGTGATCTTTTGATTTTTGTATTTGTTTCTTACCATTCAAATCTATTTTAACTGGTAAATATCAACTAAGTTTCCCCAAGCTGAGTCTGTTTTTCATGTGAAGGTGATTAGCAAGTGATCTCCCTGTCTTTATCCTCGGCCATCTACTTTTTCATCTCATTTTCTTTCCCTGACCTGTTGAGAAGGGGGAGTGAGAGAGTGTCTGGAGGGGAGTCTTACCTTTTATCAAGTTAACTCACCACAGGTAGGAAGTCACAGCTCTTATGTCATTACCAGAGCAGAGAGTTACAATGCTAGGCTGGTGTCTATTCAGGGAGCTGCCCACCTCTAAATGAGACTGGTGCAAATATAAAACCTTCCATACATGACTAAACTGCTTGGCCATGTGATCCTGTTGAAGATTTTACAAGTAATCTTACCCTTGTTCTTGGACTCTTAACTGCAGAGTGACAAGGACAGTCTTTCACTGCAGCTGAATTCAGCTGCTGAAAGGTCCTGTTTACCATGCACACACTTCTGTCTTTTCCCTTGCAATCCTGAGCCCCCAGGATGAGTTGGCTGACACATTCACTTGATAGAAAATTAATCCTCTCTTCCCTCCCACATGCTGAGAAGTGTACTTTCTGCCATCAGTGAGCTGAACCAACTCATCCTTCTGGGAAGATGCATAAAGATAGATGATATAGGAGATGAGGAGGAAAAAAGACTAGGCAACATGTCAAAGTTATATCAGATTATGTATGAAAGGAAAATGTACCTTGGTAAAAGCCTGGAAAAATGCTTGGTTAACTTGCAGTTGAATATTTTCTTTTTTTTTTTCTATCCTTCAAAATTAGTGTCTATGTGATATTTCTGTTTTTCACATTCATTTGGAATGGAAATCTATCTGTAAATGACATAAAAAAACAAACATCATTTGCTGCCTAAGGGCAGTAGTGAAACCACATTTTTCTATTCCTGCAGTTACACTTAGAATAATTTTGCTTATTTATACATCTTTTAGGCTTAGTATTGCAGTAAGTACACAGGCATACTTTTACATTTCCAAGTGGGGAGAAGAGTTACATCTGTTTGTAGCAGGTACTAACTGGAATAAAACAGCCTGTGGGATCCATTCTCATTGTTAGAAATATGGGAAGGCCTCAGTGCTTCCAGATTTCTTAGTACATGGCAAACACTAAATGATGTGATCAGTGACAGTTTTAATTGAAATGGAGTTAACTCCAGGAAAAAAGCAGTATTTTCATCCAAATCAATATAGTAATAGTGAATTTCATAATTTAAGAAAATTAACCATTTATCTAGTTCATTTATGACCAGATTTTCTTCAAAATAACTTTCTGAATCTAATATAATTTACTCTTATATAAATAAGATTGATATATCAAATAAATATTGAAGCTTATTAAAATTTTGTTGATGCTTCCAACAATAAGAGTACTAAGAGAAAATAAAAAAAATTGTCAGTTCCAAAAGCTGCTGATATAACTAATCTGTTAGACATGCATATCAACATTGATTTAAAGTAAAACTTAAAATTTAAAAAGAAGGCTGATGATAAAATACCTTTTTGTTTGCCAGCATTTTCTGGAAGAAACATTATCCTGAAATTTAAAATTAGGGGCCCTTGTTTTTTATCTGGAGTTTCATTTATGCCTGTGGAAGGGTATTGACTGTAAGAATACCAAAGCTTCTTGGGTTAATAAAGGGCTCTAACTGGAATGGCCATGGCTACTACATCTTTTAAAGTGGTGGGGTTTTCTAAGGATCAGGATCATTGGTTTTCTCAAAAGAGTAAAAAATTCATTTATCAGGGAGGCTAGAGGAACAAATTAAGATTCCTGATGTCATGCTGTCAACACCAGATCATCTAACACTGGTACATACCTTTTCTTATTTTGTAGGGAACAGACTGGGCGGTAAGAAATGTCGCCTTGGAGATTCTGTAAAGGAGAAGGAGGTGGAACTCACACATCATGCACATATGTTGCACCACCTGCTCTTTGTGTAATAAAGAAGCTGCACAAGAACTGACATTTCTGGGAAATTATCTTTTTTTATTTCTTCATAAATAATTCTCGTAAGTGGAACATGCTGCACCAAATCAAATATTTGCACTTCTCCTCTCTTCTCCTCTTCATATTTCACTTTTTTTTTTTTTTTTTTTTTTTTTTTTTTTTTTTTTTTTTTTTTTTTTTTTTTTTTTTTTTTTTTTTTTTTTTTTNTTTTTTTTTTTTTTTTTTTTTTTTTTTTTTTTTTTTTTTTTTTTTTTTTTTGTGTGTATCACTAGAAAGCTGAATATGAATTTGGTTTCTTAAAAGTTAAATTTGGATTTTGTTGAGGTCTGGAATACACCAAGAGACTCTGCAGCCACCAGCCTTGTCCCTTTCTGTGCTGTGGGAATTCCTGTGCCATTTCTTCCCTTATCTTACTGATTCTTCCCTTTCTGATGTGATTTACAGGCTTTGACTTGGACCTCTTTTGTCCCTGTGGATTCACATGGGCACCACGGGGGTGTTACCCAAGTTTGCCTTCTCTGATGACTCCTACCAGACTGCACCCTTGCTGGTGAGGATACCAGTTCCCTCTGCCTCTCTTTCACCATTGGCTTTAGCTTACATTTTTCTTCATGAAACTGCCCAGCCTTCCTGTGCACTGGTTTATGCTTGTTGTCATTTTGTTTTGTTTTATTTATTTACAATTATTATTATTCAGTAGAGAACTGCTCAGCTGAAGCTAAGAGGTCAATTTATGGAGATTGAGTTCTTCTTATTCCCAATTCAGCAACTTAGCAAAAAGCTTATTAGATGCTTAGCGAATAAAGTATTGCTCAGTGGGATGTTGATCTGCATTAAGTCTCTTATTAAAATCAGCTTTAGGGAAGAATGGAAAAACTTGCTATTTTTCAACAGAAAACCAAAACTCAGAAACATTTGCACTGCAAAAATCTCCAAAGTTTGGTAGCAATGTAAAAATATACAAAGTAGGTGAAACCCTGCCCCCCCCCCCCCCCCCCAGCATTGGATGATTTTGGAATGAATATAAATGGTTTTTACTCTTAAATTATAAGTGCTCCATTGAAGATAAGGTAACTGAAGTTTACTGTACAATGGGCATGAGCTGCACCAAGTCTAATGTTTTACCCCAAAATATTCTGAAAGAAGGAATAATCATGATAAATCAAAACATTGGTTACTAAAAAGCAGTTGCCCTCCTATCACCGGTGATAATGATATGTGGGGGTTTCTCCAAGCATCAGTATAGAACAGTGCAATGACAAACTCTACTTTTATTTATTTTTTTTTCCAGAGAGATTCTTATAAACATATTTACAATGATTGTGGTTTTAGGACTGAGCTTCTGGATAAAACAGAGGATTTCAGCTTTTTCTTTGTTTTATGCCAGTAGTTTGAAAAAGAAGCAGCTCAAAATCATTCTGACATACTGCTACTGAATGAGTATTCTGCCCATCTATGCTGTCAAGCTATCTAAAATTAAAAAAAAAATAAAATAAAAACAACAACAACAACAACAAAACTTTTGATTTAAAAAGCAAGGGGTTCTTTAAGGGTTAGATGTTTGTGTGTTGAACAGATCTTAAATACTTTCAGAGCAACAGGATGTTCACATGACCTGTTTTCATGAGGATGCACAAGACAAGCTAAATAAATTAAGCTTGTGGGGCATTAACAACATGATGCTACTGCTCAGGGAATTCAGGTTGGCTAACATATGTTTCAAATCCAAAGAATATTCCATACAGCCACTACAGAACTTAAATCACAGCAGTATGCCTGACCACAAGTAATTTGCCCAGCTCCTTGGCAAATGTGTCACTATGGCTGTGGCTGATGTTTCACACTTCGTGCTGTACATCACATAGAAATGCATATTCAGGGTTTGGCACTGGGTGGTGCTGAAGAGCTAGTTAGTAGGAAAATGTATTTGTGCGGCTCTTCAACTGACTAATATTCGCCTTTTCTTGCAGCCAATGGAACAGGATTCGTTCTCAAAATAATTCTTCTGGATCCCTAGACCCAATCAGGTACCATGATTTAGTTTGCCTATTTGCAAAAGGATACTGAGATGAAGTCTTAAGCTATATTTCTTTCTCTTATGTTTGAAGTTACAAATATAACTGAAGATACAAATATCCCGTAAGTAAAACATCCTTTTCATGTTATCACTGAAAAGTTTCTACAACCTGACATTGTCAAATTTGAAATAAAAGGTTTTGCAAAGTATTGTACTTAATCTTAATGTCTTTGACACAGACTATAGAAGGATGATGTTGTTTGTTTTTTTTTCTTAACTGATTTTACATTACACAAGTGCAAGTAAACATTAGAGGAGAATAATGTGTTAGTTCACCATCACAGCATAGTATTTTAACCGCGGTAAATATACAGATCTTAAACACAGAGACCAAGTAACAATAAGAAAAGAATTAACCTATTCAATATATATCATTTAAAATGACTCTGCTTAGTGTGATTTCACTAAATAAATTACAATATTCTGCTTTTAAAGAAGACAGCATTCAATAAGAGTATTTGTAGCTATTTACTCACTATCTGAACAGTTATTTATGCATATATAACATATAAAATCATACTTATCTATTTCTATTAGGTTTCTATTATGTTTCCAGGTTAAGAGCATTTTCTGTGTTTGCCTGAGGGTTAAATTATCTTCAGGATTTCTCTTAATTTTAATTTTATTTCTAAGTATAGGTGGTCTTTAGAGTACTGATATAAAAATTTTGGAGTTTAACCCCTGGTATCTGTTCAAAGCAAGATTTCTCAAAATATATAAATATTTTTATTACTTAGAAATCCATAAAAAAATATTACTACAAAATTCGTCTCTTCATAAACATCAAGGAGCCATATTTTCAGCTGCAACAAGCTTCTTTAGCAGTCATCTATGTTCTGCCCTCTACTCCCCAATTGTACAGAATGTATTGAAAGGACTAAAATCTATCTGATTCTTTAAAATATCTCACAACTTTAAGAAGCCTTTGTTTGTTAAAGGGAGAACTGGAGTGAATATTATCTGATCTAATCACTTATCCCTAATTTAAATCTACCAGAATGAAGACAACAATAAAACTAATGACTCCCACACTTGCTTTGCATTGCAAATGATAGTGCTGAATTAGTCACCTTCACCAGGGGAGTTGAGACTTGGCCCAAGGAAAAGACTTTTAACACAAATCTGCCATAGAACTGTGGGAAGCTGCAGCAGTAGCTCTCTATCCATGCATCCATATTAAGGAAAGCCCATGGATTGTACCAGTTTTTAGAGTACTGCCACACACACTAATAAAAAAAAAAAAAATATGTAAGTCAAGTTAAAAAAACCCCAGAAGAGTCAGAAGGAATACAATGAAAGCAAAAGTGGTAAACACTGAAATAAGTAACTGAATAAATAAACATCTTTGTCTTTCCAAACCAAAAAATATANAAAAAAAAAAAAAAATAAGACTTCCAAAATATTTTTATCCAACTATGCACACTTATTGCATTTGATGCATTTAAAGTTGCTTAATTCTCTCCACCACCTAATACTATGCCTTTTAATATGCAAACTATAAACTACAGTACTTTGGGGTAATTAGCTAATCAATCAAAATAATTCTCATTTATACCCATACTCCTGTGGTCTGGGGAGGTCATTTTAATATTCTGCAAATACCTTCAAGCAAACCCCAGGGACAAATCAGGTAAAAAGCACTGTAAGCAGCTGTTTTCCTGTAGCCATGTGCAGTGTTTATACTCTGCTGGTAAATACCTTAGGTTGATTTTACTGAGCCTTTTGAATATAATGAGCATAAATGTGACATGTACTACCATATGGTTTCTACACACGGACAGGCTGCAATTAATGCTGCAATCTATAATTTGTCCCTTACTTCTGTGATAATCTATGTCAAAGCTAACTCATTTGCAGAGTGTATCTGTGTATATATGTGTATGTGACTGTAAGCATAGCCACTTTGATGTCTAACTACTGGCTGTGCAGATTAAATCCTGTATGTAATCTATGATCAGGACCAGAATGCAGAAGAAATATGTCAATAAAGTTGCAAAAATGCTGTGCTATAGTACTGTTATTTTTATTTCTTGGCCCTTAATGTTGACAACTACTGGAAAACCTGATAATGTTCCAATTGAACAATCATTATTAAATTGCACCCTACTGTCATATATATATAGTACATATATATATAAAACCCTATAATACATATTCCACTCTATTATCATATATATATTTAGCAAAAATAACCTAAATTCCTTAATTAAATCTTATGCTCTGACTCCAGCCATTGCATCTGCTGAAAAACTTCTGAAGTTATAACTATAATTTTTACAAAAATTGCATGAAACTTGCAACTGGAAAAATAAGGAACCTGTAGTATTTGTGATCTATGACTGGATAATTCGCAAAATAATTCTACAGCATCAGAACTGATTGTTTTGTCAAGTCATACTGAGATAAATATGCACACCCACTGAATAGTTTTCTCTCTCTCTTTCACCTTATTTAGAGCATGATTGAACAACTACTGTAAGCATTTTTCTCCCCTTTTCCCAGTAAAGGACACCCTGACTTTCAGTACAACAAAAATCAAGATAACTTAATTACAAATTTCTCTTTCATTACAGTCTAAGTACAAAACCTTATTTTTTTTATCTCATTGGATAATAATTTTGCATATATTCTTCATACAAAAATACTAGAAAAATCAGTTTGGCCAACAGAGAAATACCAGATATTAAAATGGTATGAACCCAGTCTTAGATCTTTGAATGAAAATTGTTTCAAAATAGCCTTTAATACTCACCAGTTATACTCAAATAAATATAAACAGAAGTAGACAAGAGAAGTTTCATGTGATAAATTAGATTCTATTGTTTAAATGTAAATGCTTTTTTATGCTGTTGATCAACATGTATGTTGTAATTATATGTCATTAAACTTTCACATGGTTCTGGTGAAATAAGTAGTTTGACTTTAGCAGAGCAGTTGGTATCTGAAATCTCCTATATAATATCTATTTTGAAAAAAATATACAGAACAGCAAATGCAGCATGGTATAATTGCACATATATTGGCTAAACTGTGATGAAAATGAAAATGTGTGTGAAGTGCTTTCTTCTCAGGAATATGTGAAGATAGGTTAAAGAATGTTTAATAAATTCCATTTTTGGACTATATCTTATTTAATAATGTGGCATGAACAGAGTTTCCAACAAAGATGCAGGTATAAATGTATGACCTTGAGGAATGTTCTGTTTAACTTTGTTGTTTCAAATATTTTATGTCAAATGCAAACTTAGATTTCTTTTTTCCCTTAGGACATGAAAACATTGAATCCTTTCAATTGTAATAGTAAAGAACTGTGCAGCAAAACTGTGTTGGAAGTGTACTTGCAAAGTATGAAGTTTGCTATTAACTGAAAAAAATAATAAAATGGTTTGTGCTAGAATCCACCTTCAACAGAACTCTTTTGGAGCTAATGAAGTTGTGTTGCATGGACCATGTTGTGTTTCCATAAGGCTGTTCTAAAATGATACACCTGCTTCAAATATGAAAACCAGTGTCAATAGGGAAAGAAATGGAGACACATTCACCACTGTCATATCTCTCCTGCCATCTGTGGAGAATTATGCTCATGTTTTTGTAAGATTACTAAAAAAGTTTTTAAAAATAGATTGTAGAACAGTAGGTTGTGTGTTAACTGAGCGGTAGCCAGGACAAATCCAAGCACAAGAATAATTGGGTATTCTCCTTTATAATCCAGCACTTCCCCTACCATTTGACTTTGATTTCACTGGCAGTATGCTGTATTTGGCCAGTTTTGTTCAAAGTCTTCATACAACAAAGAATTAAACCCACTTAATATACCTGCATATCCCATTCAGTTGCAATGTTTCATTCATCCTATGAGTAAACATGCATAGGCTGGTGATTATTTTTTCAGAAGCACCTGAAATTAATACTAAAGGACAGTTTTAAAGGTAATTTAAGGGTGTAGTACTGGATAGTGCTTGTATCATACAAGAGAGGTTCATAATGTCTGTTTAATTATCACTACAAATTTAACCAAATGTACTTTTGGTCAATCGATTGCAATTGGCTTTAATTCTTATTGGTTTGTTTCCTATGCATTGTATTTTGGAATTTCACAACCTAGATATCACTGATTGAATAAAGTAATAAAATCATATATTATCCATGAAAACCTAGGTCTCTCTCAGTGTCTTAGGTAACAAAAATATATGTCAAACAGCTCTCTTGAAGCAACAACTTGGTTTGATGACTAAGTAAATAATGTTTAAATATAAATAGATATATCAGGGTTGATAGATTCTAACAATTGTTTGGGCAGAGTAATGTGCAAATGATTAACATTGTCAAGAGTACCCTGTATTATAATTTCCCTAGCAAAGTTGGACAGAAATAAATGTAAACAGAAAATATGTAGACAGAAAAAAATACGTAAACAGAAAAAAATAAAGATCTACATTGCCAATCTTCTGTATCAACTGAAATTATCAGGTTGGTTTTTCTTTTTTTTTTTTTTTAATTAAAAAGCTGATGAAACCTGATGTAATAACTGAAGCATAATCCAGTTGGTCTGCAGGGCACCTGGAGCATGGCCTCCTGGGGACACATGCCAGCAACCCTCATAGCAACTAAACACTTGCACCAAAGCCTTCAGTTCTGGACATGGTCAAAAACACACCTCAGGATTTCACACTTTCCTTTCTAAATATATCTCCTCACTGAGGAGTTAGTCTATTGGAGAAATTCCACTGATACTCCTCCTGCAGGAGAAAAAAAGCAAAAGCAAGAACAAAGCAATCTTCACTTGCCATTCACAGGAGCCAAGGCTTCATAGTAGTCCAGGCTTAGAGATTGTTGTTTCCTATGACAGCCGAAAATACCCAGGAAAGAAGAAAACCCTTGTACAAAGTATCAAGTTGATTTATTGCAAATCAACAGAGAAAGTAGAAAAGAACTCATTTTCAGCTGTTTCAGGGAATCAATTTGCCTCTGTCTAATAACTGAAGATCACATATTATTTTTTTTAATTCACTGATATGCACAATAAATGTGGCAGATTATTAAAATATTCAGAGGGTGAATTGAGCATCAGTCCAAGATGATATTGCCTGCAGCTTTTGGATACAGAAAAACACCTCTTCATGGTAACCATATTAGCTCCCATGAGTCTCCAGGCAAGCAAGGAAGTTATGACTGCACACAACATATAGTCCCTCACTTACCTCTTTCTTGATTTGTCCTGGTCCAGAAAAATATTAAACACACAGTCTGTTATTTATTTTTGTGTTCATTGAAAATTTCAAAAGGATGAGAAAATTAGAAGAAATTTTAAAAGGGTATTCCCTTGGTTGTTATAACAGTGCTCTAAGGGATTGAAGATTGTTGGGGTATTGGAAACTGTGAGTGTTCAGATGTAAACTTCACCACAATACTAAGCCAATTGAAAACTTGCTAAATGTTCCACTTTGACAAATAACCATAAATCTAAGTTTCCCTTTGCAAGAACCCTACTCCTGTTTTATTCAGAAACAGGTATCATTTAAATGTACATGTACAAGAGCAGGGAATGAATGACAAGTTTTGCCATATCCTTTTAATGTATCAACTCCTGGAAGTAGCTCATTTCAGACTGTGATGGTTTCCTTTTGCCAAGAGACAAAGTCCTTATCTAAAAAGTCCCTTGCACTTGCTGATTTTATTTTGGATAACTGTAACAGTGCCACAAGCTTCAGAGATGTGTCTGACACCTACTGCCACCTTTGTATTATATATCTCTCTTATAAATCTCTCAGGCATTGTTACACACCAAAGCTGAATGTGGCCATGGTGTGACTTTTTGCTTCTGTTACCAATTTATCTGCCATCTCTCTTTTTTTTTTTTTTTTTCTTTTTTTCAGGTCTTTTAGTTTCCTATGAGCATGAAGCATTTATCTTTTTCAGACAGGTTTATTTACAAATGGGTCACTGTCGATCAGAACTCAGCACTTCCACTTCCTCTCTTTTCAGGTCTTTTTCAAAACTAACTAGTTTCTCTTGGAATTATTATAAATACCGAGAATTTTAGAGCTCTGGAATTTTTTATTCAGTTTCTCTTTTATAAATTTCCTTTTTTGGTGAAGTTTTGTTCTGGGGGATTCTTTGGTGGTTTTTTCACTTGGTTATGAAAAAAATAGTCTAAATAAAATCCATGCAGAAATCTTGTTCACTGAAACTCCCCCATCTTTTAAAGACGTTTTAAGACATCTA